TATGTGCCACATTTTTCCAATCCAGTCTATTATCAATGGGCATTTGGGTTGATTCCAGGTCTTTGCTATTGTAAACAGTGCTGCAATGAACATTCGTGTACATGTGTCCTTAGAGTAGAACGATTTATAGCTCTTTGGATATATATCCAGTAATGGGATTGCTGGGTCAAATGGAATTTCTATTTCTTTTTTTTTTTTTTAATTTTTTGTTGGATTTTAGGTTTTGGGGTACATGAGCAGAGCATGCAAGACAGTTGCGTAGGAACACACATGGCAGTGTGCTTTTCTTTCCTTCTCCCCTTCACCCACATTTGTCATTTCTCCCTAGGCTATCCCTCCCCACCTCCCCCTCCCACTGGCCCTCCCCTTTTCCCCCCAATAGACCCCAGTGTTTAGTACTCCCCTTTCTGTGTCCATGTGTTCTCATTTTTCATCACCCGCCTATGAGTGAGAATATGCGGTGTTTCATTTTCTGTTCTTGTGTCAGTTTGCTGAGGATGACATTCTCCAGATTCATCCATGTCCCTGCATGTAGTAGAATTACTGTGGTTTTCATTTGCATTTTCCTATTGGGCAATGATGTACATCTTTTCATAGTTTCTTTTTTGCCATCTGCTGTATATTCTCTTTGGTAAAATATCTTTCTGCCTTTAGATCTCTTGCCTATGTTCTTTTTCTTGTCTGTTGGTTAGTTAACTGTTTTTTAGACAGGGCCTTGCTCTGTTGCCATGCTGGAGTGCAGTGGTGTAGTCTCGGCTCCCTGCAATCTTTGCCTCCCAGGTTCAAGTGATTCTATTGCCTCAGCCTCCTGAGTAGCTGGGTCTACAGGCAGGCACCACCACACCCAGCTAATTTTTGTATTTTTAGTAGAGACAGGGTTTCACAGTGTTGGCCAGGATGGTCTCGATCTCTTGACCTTGTGATACGCTCACCTCAGCCTCCTAAAGTGCTGGGATTACAGGTGTGTGACACCGTGCCCAGCCTTTTTTTAATTCTTTACAGAAATCAGATCTCATTATGTTGCCCAGGCTGGTCTCAAACTCCTGAACTCAAGTGATCCTCTTGCTCAGTCTCCTGTGTAGCTTTGAGATGGCAGGTGTGTGCCACTATGACTGGCTAATTTTAATTTTTTTTGGTAGAGATGGGATCTCACTATTTTGCCCAGGCTAGCCTAGAACTCCTGGGCTCAATCAATTCTACCACTTTGACCTCCCAAACTGCTGGAACTCCAGGCATGCACCAGGGCACCTGGCTTGCCTATGTTCTAATTTGATTGTTTTTTTTTTTTTTATGCTGTTAAATTTTGAGAGGTCTCTATTACATATTTTAGATAGCAGTGCTTTCTTGAATATGTACTTTGCAAACATGTCCTTCCAGTCTGTAGCTTGTGTTTTTATCTTTCTATCTGGCTCTTTCACAGGAGAAATATTTTTAATTTTAATGAGGTCCAGTTTGTCTGCCAGTTTTTGCTTTCATGATTCAGTCTTTGGGGTCAAGTCTAAGAGCTCTGCCTTGTTCTAGATCCTGAGGATTATGTTTTATATTTGAATTCATGATCTATTACGAGTTTTATTTTGTATGAAGCATAAAAGACATATAGATAGAGGCCCATTTTTTCCTCTGAATGCTGATTGCTCCAGCACCATTTGTGGAAAAGCTGTCCTTACTCCTGAAGTGCTTTTGCACTTTGTCAGAAAATCCACTGGGCATATCTGTGTGGGTCTTTTTCTTGGATTCTCCATTCGGTTCTGTGCTTTGCTGTCTGTGCCTGCTGCCTGCCAGTACTCTCTTAATTACCCTAGCTATAGAGAAAGTCTTTAAATCTGGTTGACTGATTCCTTCTACTTCTTTTTTGAAACTGTTTTAGCTATTTTTGTTTCCCTGCCTTAATTTTTTTTAACTAAGTATGTTTAATTTTTCTTTTAAAAATACACACTTTTCTCCTCCGCCAGCCGGGTCCCCTCCCCACAGAACCACGGCTTCTCTTCCTCAGCAAGGCGACAGGGGCTTCCCCTTAGCCGCCGCCGCCGGCCAAGCTCCGCCGCGCCCGCGGCCCACGGCCGCCATGCAGTTTATGTTGCTTTTTAGTCGTCAGGGAAAGCTTCGACTGCAAAAATGGTATGTCCCACTATCAGACAAAGAGAAGAAAAAGATCACCAGAGAACTTGTTCAGACCGTTTTAGCACGGAAACCTAAAATGTGCAGCTTCCTTGAGTGGCGAGATCTGAAGATTGTTTACAAAAGATGTGCTAGTCTGTATTTTTGCTGTGCTATTGAGGATCAGGACAATGAACTAATTACCCTGGAAATAATTCATCGTTATGTGAAATTACTTGACAAGTATTTTGGCAGTACCTGTGAACTAGATATCATCTTTAATTTTGAGAAGGCTTATTTTATTTTGGATGAGTTTCTTTTGGGAGGGGAAGTTCAGGAAACATCCAAGAAAAATGTCCTTAAAGCAATTGAGCAGGCCGATCTACTGCAGGAGGAAGCTGAAACCCCACGTAGTGTTCTTGAAGAAATTGGACTGACGTAACTCTCCTCCCTTGATGACTTCTTGTGGCATTTCACACACTGTAGATGGTCACTCCCTTCATGTCCATGTTAGTTAATGGTGTAAGATGATGTCTTGTCAGTGTTACTGTTTTGCTAAGCTGCTTCATTCATGCCTACACAATTTTTTTTAAAGGGAACTTTAGTTGATCAAGTGATAAGGGACTTAAATATGAATTAGAATGGTAGCAGAAAAAGGTACCTTTTCTGGATATTTTAAAGTTTAGAGGTCAGTTTCTCTTAATCTGATTATGTGCACATATGAAAATGGCACATATACATGTAAAACCAGGCAGTATATATTTATTAATTACTGTATTTGACAAAGGAAACAAATTATAATGTGAAACCTGGTTTTATGAAACCAAAGATTAGTGCAGCATTTCGGTATATATATATATAAAAAAAAAAGGGAATTACATGTCACATATCAAATGAATGGAGACTTAACTTTGTTGAACTTTAAAAAGCAAATTTACTCCAAAAACTCCTATTGGAAATCACATACCTTTCAAAAATAAAAGGGAATATTTTCAAAAATAAAGGGAATTATTTTTAATGACTTAATTGGAATGATACTTTTACACTAAAATTATTTCTTAGGCATTCTGAATCTGGGATGAGAAACAGGATTGTTTCATAATAGTAAGCACATAATTTTTAAGGCCAAGGCACATATGACTCCTGAGATGAAATTTTTTGTGGTCATAATGACATATGTAGTTGTTTTTGATGCCCAAAATAAAGTGAGAATGTTAATTTGCCAGGAATTCTTCTTAACAGTGTCTTACAGAAAACATGTTGCTCTCTTCACAGTGTTATGTGTAAAGTCATTGTTTAAAGCACGAATGTTCCTTCTGGGATGCTTGTTAATGCCAAATTTATTTTGCTTCCCTATTTGCTTCCCTCCACTTGGAAGTGCTGCAAACTTTACAGCAGCTTCCTTTCTTTCTGGCACTGCCTAGTTAACAGAAGTCTTATAAAAATTTAAAGACACGTTTCATATAAAAAAGTGAGAGTTGAATGAGGTAAAATGGCATTAGTTGGCCCTATATTTTTTAAAGCTATATAATTGTTCAGCGTCACTTTTCTAAGTACTTATACATATCTAAACATGTCTTCATGGTTTATACTTTCACTTGTATATGCTGGGCTGGATTAAGCTTTGTTGTGATTGTGACCAATATTCAGGCCACGTGAGCACTGTCTTATCACTTTGCCAATTAGTTGTAATAAACGTTCAATGTACAAATAAAAAAAAATACACACTTTTTTTTTTTTTTTGCTGTTCTTATTTAAAAAAAATTAGGCTGTCCATGGTGGCTGACACCTGTAATCCCAGCACTTTTAGAGACTGAGGTGGGTGTATCATGAGATCAGGACTTGAAGACCAGCCAGGCCAATATGGTGAAACCCCGTGTCTACTAAAAAAAAATTACAAAATTAGCCATGTGTGGTGGCATATGCCTGTAGTCTCAGCTATTAGGGAGGCTGAGGCAGAAGAATCACCTGAACCTGCAAGGCAGACGTTACAGTCCACCGAGATCAGGCTACTGCACTCCAGCCTAAGTGGCAGAATGAGACTCCATATCAACAACAAAAAAACTTCACATAAGCATTTTAATGTAACTTTATAGAAGCCATAAATTCAAGTAATGTGTGGCTTTTGCCCTTTAAAATTGAGAGCAGGACTTTATAGCAATTCCCTTCTGAGATGAAGAGAGTTTCTGTAAGGGATATCATATAAAAACTAAGCTGAGAGACTGTGTCTCAACAAATAATTTATTTTGTGTTTTAAAGTATACAATTATTATTTACTATAGTCACCGTATTGTGCTATCAAATCATAGATTTTTTTTTCACTGCAAAATGGCAACAATGAATAGTAGGCCTTTTACAATTTTTATTTCATTTTATTTTCTTACTTTCCAAACTTACCAGAATAGTAGCCTTTATTCATTCTATTTTTTTTGTACACTCTCTGCTTTCTATATGAATTTTAGAATAATCTCATCTATATTTGCCAAACATCTTGCTGGAGTTTTTTTTTTTTTTTTTTTTTTTGAATTACGCTAAACCTATGTACAAGGGTTGCACACATTTTAACTCATGTTGTCCCATTTCTTTCCAGAAGGGCTGGACAGGTTGATGTTTTCACCAGCAGGGCCCAGGATGTGTGTGTCCACCTTTGCAAACTCACACAGTGGCTGTCTTTATTTGGCTTTGCCAAGCTGATTGCAGAACACAGCACATTATTTTGTTTTGCCATGCTTAAATTACCGTCGAGGCAGAATGTTTTTCCTCTAACTTTGCTGCAGCTCTTTTTTCTGAATTGCGTTTCGCTTTTTGCTCATTTTTAATTTAGATGTCTTTTTCCTTGTGATTTGTAAAATCTTTTTCTCACTTGCCAAGTCTTCTCCTTCTGTTGGAAACATTTACCCTAGCTCTGGATAAGGAACATCTCATGGCGCTGTTGGAGAGAGCAAACTATCCAGTTCAGGGAGGTAAGACATGTCCCAGAGTTTCCCTGATGCCTTTTTTTTTTTTTTTTGCTGAAGTGCAATGGTGCAATCTTGGTTCACTGCAAGCTTTGCCCCCCATGTTCAAATGATTCTCCTGCCTTTGCCTACTGAGTAGGTGGGAGTACAGGCATGCATCACCATGCCCGGCTAATTTTTGTATTTTCAGTAGAGACGGTTTCACCATGTTGGCCAGATTGGTCTTGAACTCCTGAACTCAGGTGATCCAACTGCCTCCACCTTCCAAAGTGCTGGGATTACAGGTGTGAGCCACCGTGCCAGGCTTCTGATGCCTTTTGAGTGCTACCAAGTCAATCCCAGTTCTGCCACATCCTTTCCACATGACCAAGCCAGGTTACCTTACCTTCAGCATACGGGCTGGCCTGTCAGGAGGCCTGGGGTACATGTAGGATAATGGTTGTGAAAAGCCTGTGCGGAATCTCTGAGAGGAAGGCAAAAATGCGAGGATTATCAAACGGTCTCTACTTCAGACTATGCTATTGTATCAGCTTGGCTAGCATAGTCAAACCCCTGCTCTACTAAAAATAAAAATTGGGCTGATGTGTGGTGGTATGTTCCTGCAATCCCAGCTACTTGGGAGGTTAGGCAAAAGAAGAACTGAGGATGCAGAGGTTGCAGAGAGCTGAGATTGTGCCATTGCCTTACAACCTAGGTGGCAGAGCAAGACTCTGTCTCAAAAAAAAACCTGAACCGAAAACGTATTTCAGATCTGGACCTTTTTGATCATTGGCAGGGAAGGCACCTTTGTCATCCAAAGCAAGGGCCTCTGGAGTCTGTGAACCTGTGGAGGTGATGTGCTGTTTACTGTCTGGACCTGACCACTGTCACCTTTACTGATAGGTGACAAACAGCCTGCCTGACTTGGCCTTGTTTCTGTGGGTCTACTTGGTCTGGGAAAACATATTGTGGAAGCAAGCTAGAGCTTGAACCCAGAAATTGACACAGTTGTGATGGCTGGACACCATCATCTAATGAGATTGTAAGAAGCTAAGAGTAATGGCCCCTCTGGGTACTTCCTGTACCATTCCCATGGAGACAGTGTCACAGACCTCTCAGCATGAGTGGGACAGCCAGTTGGGGGCCGCTGTCGCTATACAGTTACTTCCTAATTCCTTTCTTGTTGTTTTTGTCTTTTTAAAAATGATGACTCCTTAATCTCTGGATTTTCTTTCTTTTTCAAATTATTCTAGTGTTTTTTTTTCTGTCTTTCTGATATTTCCCTTTTTTGCTTTTTCTTTTCGTTCTGACTTTCTCCTCTCCCCTTTCAGATCTTTATTCTATTTTTCTTCTATTTTCACTCTGTCTTAGTATTGATCTCTGTTCTTTTAGTTCTTTATATGTTCACAGGTGTCAGCACCCCCTCACAGAGAAGCTGACTGTAATCTGGGCCTAGTGACTATAACTGGAAGGAGGCTATGCCCCCCAATTTTATTCAGTGTGAGAAATCATACAACAGCAGCCCAGGAATTTGTTGAAAATATACTGTAATTTTGCCCCTCAGACAGTACTGTTTTTCCTCACCAATTGTATTTTATTCAGCTGTTTACACACCGATTCTGTATAACTAGGAGTAGTTGTGCATTCTTCACTTTTATCACTTATTTTTTTTAATATTTATTTTTTTGAAACTGAGTCTCACTCTATCACCCAGGCTGGAATGCAGTGGCACAATCTTAGCTCACTGCAACCTCCGCCTCCTGGGTTCAAGTGATTCTCCTGCCTCACACTCCCAAGCAGCCTGGACTACAGAAGCATGCCACTATGGCCGGCTAATTGTTTGTATTTTTAGTAGAGAGGGGGTTTCACTATGTTATTCAGGAGGGTCTCGATCTCCTGACCTTGTGATCTGCCCACTTTGGCCTTCCAAAATGCTGGGATTATAGGTGTGAGCCACCGTGCCTGGCTTTTGTCACTTCTTAAGTCGGCAGAGGCTCTCTTTGTCTCCCATGCTGGAATGCAGTGGCATGATCTTGCCTCACTGCAACCACTGCCTCCTGGGTCCAAGACATTCTCCTGCCTTAGCCTCCCAAGTAGCTGAAATTACAGGCACATATCACCACACCTGGATAATTTTTGTATCTTTGGTAGAGATGTAGTTTCACCAAGTTGGCCAGGCTGGTCTCAAATTACAGACCTCAGGTGATCCATCTGCCTTGGCCTTCCAAAGCACTGGGATTACAGGTGTAAGCCACCATGCCTGGTCATGTGCTAATTTTTTTTTTTTAACCTCAGTAAAACACCAACACATTTAAGCCTTTAGAGTCAGCATTTTAGTAGCTGCTTAATTGCCCGCTGGGTTGACACACTTATCTGGATACCTCTTCTTTCCCCTAGGAGATGCCTGATTGAGGTCAGGACATGATGAGAGGTGTGTAGACTTGGCCGCTGGCCAGATTGGATCCAGGTATGGCCTCTTGTGGCCCTAATTAGCTGTGTCATCCTAGATGAGTCATTGACCTTCTCTAAACAGTGATGTTTGGGGGCTTTGAGGAAGCCAGAAAGTGGAATGTCTTTAGTACCGAGCTCAGGACTTCACACTTTCTTCTTGCCATGGTGGGAGTAATCATTGGCCAGCTCTCTCTGTGGGGGGGCTTGTATGCATGTCTAACCACTCGGGTAGCTAGAGAAGGATGGATGAGAAGGGTAAGAACCAGACCCAGGGCAAAGAAAACAGTCGCAAGCTTGTGTGCCCAATGATTCATGATGAAGCGTGGAAACTCCTCTTCTGATTCTGAAACCAGGGACCAATCTCAGAGGATAGAGTGTCTTTTCTCTCTGAGCTCTCCAAGGAGTTGCAATCCCTTTGTTCACTTCTTGGAAATTGACACTGGGCTTCTGCTGTGGCTGTTTTCTGGGTGACTGTATTGTTTGCCCTAGAATTATGATTCACTAAAGAAGATTAAGTTTACTTTTTCTAAATCAACTAATCTTAATAATATCTGTGTCTGAATTCTCTGTTCAGAGTTCTGAACAGAGTTCAGAGAATGTTTAAGATACATACTTTTTGACTCTTAACTGTCGTCATATATGTTGGTCATGACAAAATTGAGGGGTTAACCTTTTTTCTCTCAACTGGATGTGTTTGGTTTTGATCAATATCTGTGTTTTTATTTACAGATTCCCACTGAAAAATTATTGTGTGAACATATTACAAGCAGGTAAGTTTAGCCGAAGTCTTTTATATTGAACCAGAGAGTGACCTGGAAAGCACAGCACAGAGTAGAAGCTCCGCTGAGTGGCCTTTGTCCTTTTCTGTTCTTTATCACCAGCCACTCAGCATGGCAGGTTCTGCTTCACTGCTGCTGCACCCAGGTGAAGCCCCTCTCTTCACCCAGGAGCTCTGGAAGACCCCTGCTTGGGTGGGGTGAGCCAGGTGGGAAGGCGCCTGTGCTGGCCAGGTTGCTGTGTGAGGTAGTGAGTTCCCTGTCGTCAGCGGCTGTGAATCCCTGTTGTGGATGGGGCAAGGCAGGATTTCAGACACTAACTGGTTATCTTTTGCTTCCTTCATTTTTCTCTTTTGAGCCAAAAGAAGTTGGGGGAAAGCAGGGAAGGGGTTTTGGGCAGAAAGAGAGTTCAAGGCTCTGGGGGCTTTCTGGTTGAGGACCCCAGAAGGAACTGCAGCCAGACAGGGTAGCTATCTCGGGTCAGAAGACGGAGTGCCCTCAACACTTACCCTGGGCTCCACTGGAAGATGGTTTCTTCTAGAAACTTCCCTGACCCTTCTTGCGGGGGTCACTCTTTAAATGCCTCTTCCACAAGGACTGGGTTCTTGAGGTGAAAACTTTCAATTGGCTCAGTGCGGTGGTGCACACCTGTAATCTTGGCACTTTGGGAGGCTGAGATGGGAGGATCAGCTGGGCTGAGGAGTTGAAGGTTGCACCGAGCTATGATTGCATCACTGCACTCTAACCTGGGTGACAGAATGAGACCCTGACTCTAAATAAAATAAAATAAACCAAGAAAACAACTTATAGTCATTTTCCCCCCAGCTCCTCAGGCTAAAAGAAATACGTAAGGGCTTTGTTTATTAAGTAATTAGGTCCAACAACTGAAGGATTAGTAGCGATTTGAAATTTTTTACAGTAGTTAAAATAAATGAATTATATTTTTATTTCATCTTCACATAACTGCAGTCACTCACTTTGTGTTCCAGGTGATGTGACACAGGGCAGCTGACCTGTGAACAACACAGGTGTGCACTGTGTGGGTCACTCACACAGGGATTTCTCCCACCTCCGCCACCCTGTTACCGAGGGACCAAGTCTGCTCCATCTTCCCCCGCAGCCACTCCACAGAGCACCTTCGTGAGGACCCACTGCCGCCTCGTGAACTGTGAATCTGCTTTCTTTTCTGGGTTTTTCTGAGCAGGAGTTTCCTTTCTTCAGCTGAGTGTGTGGAAGGAACACAGTGGATGGCACACGTGGCTTGCATCATATGTCCTGACGGTGCGTGGACTTGGCAAGGCTTCTGGTCAACAGGAAGCTGTTAGTAGTTTCGTTTTCGGGGAGTCAAAAGTTACACTCAAGTTTCTGATTTTGAAGGGGATTGGTACCCCTAACTCCATGTTGTTCAAGACTCAATTGCACTTTCTTTAAAAATATATACATTTTTTGGTAGGGACGGGGGTCTCACTATGGTGCCCAGGCTGGTGGTCTTGAACCTCTGGGCTCCAGTGATCCTCCACCTTCGGCTCCCCAAGAGCTAGGATTACAGGTATGATATTCGGCAACACCCTGGGAATTTGCTGTGGCAACCCAGGGTACCTTAGCACACAGTTTCGGAACTGCAGCTGTAAAGAGAGCAGCCAGGGCTGGGCCTGAGACTTGCAAGTCAGCAGAACAGAGACAAGGAAAATGGCCCGGCCACTCATTTCCCGGAGCTGCTGTGGGCTCCCTGGGACCTGTCTGCCTCCCGTTGTCTGTCTATGTCTGTCCTGTCTTTCTGTTTGTCTCCGTGTGTCTTCTGTGACAGCTGCTGAACCCCGCTGCACAGCTGTGAGCTGTTCTTCCTGTCTGCAGCCCTTCTCTATGTAAGGTCGGTTGCCTTGGTGGGAGCTTGGACATGCCCATCCCTCTCCACGCCTGAAAACTACATCACCAGAATCTGCACTCAACACATTCCCACTTCTGCACTCTCCACCAGAATCTGCACTCAACACTAAACTCTGTACTCGGCACCTAACCCGACATTGGAAAACCCTACCAAAATTTGAAAGAAGCCCTGCCAAAACCTGCCCAATAGCACAGCCTGCTCACCGGAAATCTCACCTACCTTCCAATAGCAGCTAGCCCCGTCCATGTCCTCTCTCTCCACAGCCAATCAAACGCCTTCTCTCTCTATGAAACCCCCACACGACTTCTCTGGTCCCTTCCTTGGGACCACAGAACCTCGCCTGGGAGTTAAATAAATTGGCATTTAATTGTTCTTATACTGGCCTCAGTTTCCTCATTTTAAACTCAGCAATAACTCTTAATACGCTACACTCCCATTTCTGTTCCTCCACCCTGTCTCCACCTTTGTTGGCCTTGTTCAGCTTGGGCACTGTGGGAATTACACGTTAACCGCCACGAGAGCCCCCATGGACATTCCTGATGCGGGTATGTCCTGGTGGATCTTGGCAGGCGTGGCTGTGAGCTCAGGGCTGTCTGTCTTCCTGCGGGTCACCTGCCCCCTGCGGGAGGCTGTGTGTGGGGTCTGTGTATCTGTGGCTCTGGGTCCCTGCTGTGCATTTATCTGGACAGGGCTCCCCGTGGCCGCTGTCTAGCCTGCAGAGGTTGTTGCTCTGCCCCCATGCTGTGCATACCAGTTGCGGGGGGGCTTCCGGGTTTCCCCCTCACAGCGGCACACCCCTGCACTGCTTGTCTCCTTGAGTGCCTCCCAGCAGCCCAATCTAATTACCTGTCTGCTTCTTACCATTGGCTGTATCTGTCTTTCTGAGCCTGCCATTATATTTATACTTTCAAAACCTCTTCTTTCCAGCCCAGATCTCTTATCAAATTTCCACTTTCCTTCAGTTCTCCAGAAGGTTCTTTTTTGTTTGTTTCTTTGAAACAGGGTCTCACTCTATCACCTAGGCTGGAGTGCAGTGGTGCAATCATAGCTCACTGCAGTTTTTAACCCCTGGGCTCAAACGATCTTCCCGCCTTGGCCTCCCAAAGTGTGGGGTTGCAGAGGTGAGCTCCTGTTCCCGGCCTCCAAAAGGTCCTTATGGTAAAAGTGGGTTGTCGGATAAGATGATTTCTTGAAGGCTCCTGGAGCCGAGCGGCGACAGTGGCTACCATGCCCACTTTACCCAGTGCTGCACCAAGCACCCTCTGGTCAGAGGGGAGGGAATTTCACCATTTTCCAGGAGTGGAAAGGCTGAATGAGGCTGAGTGAGGAGGTACAGCTGCCTGGGCCTCCTGGAGGCAGCACAGCAGGGCTGGGCTCTCTCTGAGGCTCACCATGTGTAGAGTATGTGTTTCTCTCCAAGATTGGAAGACTGACTGCAAGACCCCCAACTCAGAAGGCCATCCCTTCCTTGCTCCAGGGCAGAAGATCATGTCAGGATGGGCAACGTGCTTGGGAGTCCTTTTGGGCAATGAGAGGGTGGATGGATGTGAGCCGGTCTTCATGAACTGGTCTCTGAGCTGCCCTGTGGGATGAGGCCCATCAGCCAGGCTCCCTGGAGTGCATATGTAGGGGCTTGGGGCACCTCTTTGAGAAAAAAATTCAGTCCGTTTCAAGACATCACTCTCTTCCCAGGTGTCACCCCTTCAATACCCCCCTGAGGTTCCATTTTGACCCTTCACCAGATACCACCTGATGAAAGCAACTACAGCCTTAGGTCAGCCCCTCCTTGGACAGAAAGACTGGGCTCAAGGCAAGTGGAAGGGGCGATGGGCCCTCAGGCCAGACCCTGGTCTCCGGGGTCCCAGCCTCCCTGGACCCTTCTGCAAACTCACACTGCTTTTCTTCCAGGAATGTCTTTTGACTCAGAGCCCTTCACACGCTGCGCCATGGATGCCACCTTTGAGAAAAGTGACCCATGATGGTTGCGTGATCATCCCTTACCAAATCAAGCCGTGTGTGTTTTCATGGCAGCTCCTGGAATCCATGGAAGTCAACTCTGGGATCCAGCAAGCATGTCTTTCTCAGTTGACACCCCCAGCCATCCATCTCTCTTAGGGCATGATGTAGGAGACACGTAGCAATCTCGTTCTCATTGCAAGTTGACTTCTGTCCTTGCAGGTGGCCTGGTGATGTGTGCAGAATTGTGGACCTTCCCATGGGGAAGAGACAATGGAATCTGGAAATCATGGAAGTAGGGCCATCGGCCTCTTTCTTTAGCCATGGGGTAAATCCTGACTGATCCCATGAAATGTCCGTGAAGTGCTGGAATTGCCCAAACACAGAATCATAGGACAGAGAAACTGGGTCAGTAGAACTCAAAAAAATCGTGAGATCTTGGAATCTTATGATTCTTCAAGCACAGATCCATAGATGGAGAGTCGTAGAACCATAAGAAAATCAAATTTGGTAATGAAAAGAAAGTCACAGTGGGCCAGATAGGTAGCTCACACCTGTAATTCTAGTGCTTTGGGAGGCAGAGGCCAACAGATCTCTTGAACCCAGGAGTTTTTTTGACCAGCCTGGGCAACATGGTGAGACACCATCTCTATAAAAAATTAGCTGAGTACAGTGGCATGCACCTGCAGTCACAGCTACTCAGGAGGCTGAGGTGGGAGGATAGGTTGAGGTCACAAGTTTGAGGCTGCAGTGAGCCATGACTGTGTCACCGAACTCCAGCCCGGGTGACTGATTGAGACCATGTCTCAAAAAAAAAAAAAAAAAAAAAAATCACAGTATCATGGAGTTCTGGAATCCTACAGATTAATTGTCCAGAATCCTGGCTCCCAGGCCTACCTTACTTTCTTGTGAAATGAGGGCATTAGGCTCCCCAGACTTTCCTGTGGGAGGAGTTACCTGTTGCTGCCACAGCGGCTTCTAGGGGCCAGTTGGCTGCCTGCTGGAGTTCGGCTTCTCGGCCAATACTGCCACCAAGTGGAGATGCCAGAGAAGGGCGGCGCTGGAGGGGTGCCTGGGTCCAATTTTTCCCTGGAGGCAGGGCCCCTTCTGGGCAAGGTTTTGGGTGGCATGAGCAGCGCCTCCTCCCCAGCCCTTGGCTGTCCTGCAGCCTGAAGGGATTTTACATTGCAGGTGTGACCTATTTCACGGGAACGGTGGTGACCACAACCCCTGCTTGCTACCTATATACTGAAGCCTGCATGACCCAGCGGATCCCTGAGATCACGGGAGATGTGATGGCAGCATCTTTGGAGCATAAGCCAGAGCCGAGGCTCAGAGGCCAAGAGCAAGAATCGCAGGGCAGCTGTTCACACATGGACCTGGGCCTGGCGGCTTGACAGTCACGGTTTTCCTGTCCACCCCATCACCCAGGCTCACGGGCCTCAGATCCCTCATGACTGGAAACACGCTCCTCCACTCTGATTCACCCCCAGCTTCACCTTTAGTACCTCCCCTTGGCCTTGAAGGTCCTGAGCTCCCGGAATGTGGCGGAAGTTTTAGAACCTGATGCAAGTGCTCTGTGCAGGTGGTTTATGTTGGAACATGTGAAGAGAGTGGGGGAACAGGTGAAGGCAGAAAGCCATTGGGGTATCCATTGGCTGCCATCTTCCCTAGGTCAAACAGGCTGGGGCATCGTGACTGTAAATCCTAAGGTTCATCTGCGGGCCTGCTCTGCCTGGCCAGGCAAGGTGAGATGAAGTGAGATGTGCTGCTGTGAGTGCACAAAGCAGGGCCAGGGTGCCAGGAGGGCTAGGATGCCAGGGTTTCCTCTTTCCATTTCCTTCCACTGTCACCATTCTTTGGGTCAAAGGAGACATAATGGTTTTTTTTTTCCTATAAGGGCATCAACTGCTTTGTGGGCTTCCTCCCTAGCATCCATCTCCTGCTCACCCTTTCCCTCTATCAGTGGCACCCTACTCTCCCATTCTATGAGGGGAAATAGAGATCACCAGCTTCTGTTTATAACCTGCAGTCTTTGCAGAGAGTTTCTGTCTCTCCCTCCACAGAGATGAAATTTCCTAGCTGGTTGTCCTCCAGACCAATGGGTCCAGAAGCTTCGGCAAACTGTTCGTTCCTGTTCTCTCCAGGCTCTTAGACCAGGCTCAGCAGCCACCTTCATCCTCTCCTAACTCTTCCACCTGCCCTCTCCACCTGCAGCTTCCTCTTAGTCCAGAATTGTTAAACTGTTTAAGGTGGTGTTACTTCTTTCCATTTTTGTTTTCGTGTTTTGTTGCTAGTGCTGACTTTTAGTACATTGATGTTTCCTGCAACTGTCCTAAGCTCACCAATTAGTTCCCGAGATTTATTCTTTTTTGAAGATTTGTTAGCATTTTCCATATAAACAATTGTGTTACCTGTGAAGAAAGACAGATTACCTCTTCCTTTAAATTCTAGATGACTTCCATTTCTTTTTCTTGCCTTATTGCACTGGCTAGAAACTCCAGGTTACTGTCAAATAAAAGTGGTGAGAATAGATGTGCTTGTTTTGTTCTTGATGTTTAGAGAAGAAACATGCAGTGTTTTATTTATTTAAGTGTGATGTGAGCTGAGGTTTTTCATTTATCAGATTTCAGAAGTTCCCAGCTAGTTCCAATCTGCTGAGAGATTTTATATAAATATTGGAATTTATTGAATGATATTTCTGTGTCTATTGAGACAAATATGTTTTATTTAGCTAACTAATATAGTGAATTACATTAATTCATATTCAAATATTAAATTAACCTTGCATTCCTGGGATAAATCCCATTCGGTTATGGTGTATCCTCTTCTTTATATATTGTTGGGCTGCATATGCTAAAACTTTGTTAAGAAGTTTTGCATATATGTTCCTGAGAAGTACTGATCTAGAATTCTTTTTCCTTATAGCATCTTTATCTGATTTGGGCATTAGGGTAATTCTGGCCTCATAGAGTACTCATGAGTATTTCCAACTCTTTTTTTTTTCTCTCTCTCTCTCTTTTTTTTCTGACCACACCAAAATAGAAGAGTATTTCCAACTCTTTAATTTTCTGAAAGAGTTTGCGAAAATTGTTATTATTTCTTGCTTAAATGTTTGGTAGAATTCACCAATGGAGCCATCTGGCCTTTAAGTTTTCTTTGTAGGAAGCCTTGTAGCTACAAATTCAGTTCTTTAAATAGCTATTGGACTATTTTGGTTATTAATTTCTTGTGTGAGCTTTGGTAGTATCAACTACAAATTTGAGTTTATTGGCATATAGATGTTAATGTTCCTGTTTATTTTTTAGTATCTATAGACTCTGTAGAGATGTCACCTTTCTAATTATTGATATAAGTCATTGTTCTTTCTTTTTTCTTCTGGGTTGTCTGCATAGAGACAGAAAACCCATGGTTTGCGCCTGCCTTTCATGGTCTTCTCTTTCTGAAGTCCTGGCCTATGAATTTTGGACATGCTCAGCCTCCACAAATGCATAAGACACTTTCTTGTGATAACTCTGTCTTGCCTTCAGGGGCTCCAGTTACATTTATGTTGGGCTGCTTGAAGTTTTCTCACAGCTCACTGATTCTCTTTTCATATTTGCAGTCTTATTTTTCTATGCTATGTCTTCAAGTTCACTCATTTTTTTCTTCTGCAGTGTTAAACTGCCATCAGTTCCAGCCAGTGCATGTATCCACTCAGATATCATAGTTTCCATATTTAGAAGTTTGATTTGGTTCTCTTAAATATCTATTCCTTCTCCACACACAAAATGTGTTCATCTTTCCTCTACCTTCTTGAACATGTAGAATCACTAGAGGCACTCTTTTAATGTGTTTGTCTATTAATTTTATCTGTGTCATCGTGTTTGTTTCTATTGGTTGATTGATTTTACTCCTCATTTGTGAGTCATATTTCTCTGCTTACTCACATGCCTACTAAGTTTTGATTAGATGCCAGACATTGTGAATTTTATCTTTCTTTGTGCAGAATACTTTTGCATTCTTATAAATATTCTTCAGCTTTATTCTGGAATGCAGTAAAATTACTTGAAAACAGTTTAATTCTTCTGAGGCTTGCTTTTTAGCTTTGTTTGCTGGAACCTAAGCAGCATTTACTCTAGGGCTAATTTTTCCCCAGGACTGAGGCAATAACCTTCTGACTATTCCACCTGATGTCCTATGAGTCACTAGATTTTTCCACTCTGGCTACTGGGAACACAAACTGTTGCTGGTCCTGTGTGAGCTCTGAGGATTGCTTCTAGAATTCTTTGAGGGAGTAGTTTCATCACATATGTGCACTGTTCCGCACTCCGATGGATACATTGAGGAACCCTTCTGCAAGTCTTGGGAGTTCTCTCCATGCAGTTGGTCCTCTTTGGTGCTCTGCCTTGTGAACCCCAGCCAACTTGAACTCCCTGGACTCAGTTCTCCTCCCTGCTGCAGTGTGAACTCTCTAGAGAGTGTGGCTAATGCAACTGAGGAACCCAGTGTTGAATTTTAAGTTTAATCAATTACAACTTAAATGTAGGTAGCCACACATAGCTAGTGGCTACTGCCATGGATGGCTCAATCTCTAGTGCAGCTGGTAGAGAGCCTGGGATGAGGGGTCTCTGCTCTTCTTTTGGGAAGTGAGCTCTGCTCTCCCTGCAGTCAGGACATGTGTGAGCTCAGCTGGCTCTGGTCAGCCTGGAAAACCACAGTGGAGAGCTCACCTGTTCATCACTTGTCCAAGGTGGGCCTTACATTGGCCTAGTTGAAGCTGGGTGCTATGATTTGAATGTTTGTCTCCTCCAAAACTCATATTGAAATGTAATCCCTAATGTGGCAGTGTTAAGAGGCAGAGCCTTTGAGAGGTGATTGAGTCAGAGGGTCCTGCCCTCGTGAATGGATTAATCCATTCATGGATGAATGGATTAATGGTTTGTCATGGAAATAAGACTGATGGCTTTATAGGAAGAGGAAGAGAGACCTGAGCTAGCATGCTTAGTGCCCTCCCCATGGGATGTCTGGTCCTTCCTAAGGACTCTGCAGAGTTCCCATCAGCAAGAAGGCCCTCACCAGATACACCCCCTTGTTTGGACTTTCTGTCCTCCAAAACTATAAGAAATATATTTTTAAATATGAATTACCCAGTTTCAGGCATGCTGTTATAAGCAACAGAATATAGACCAAGATACCGAGTTTTGCAGCAGAGTTAGCAGTTTACCCTTCACTGCAGTATGGCAGGTGCTTAGCTGCGCTCTGGTTTCCAAAGAGCCCCCTCTTCTAGCCCAGTTCTGTCAGAGCTTGACTCAGAAAATAGCTCAGTTTTCAGACCATCATAAACTCAAGAGGAGCCATTGTGACATTGGGAAAATAGACAGTAATGCCACACTTCCAGCCTCCAGGGTCTTACTCTGTCCTAGGCAGTGCCATGGAATAGAAAATCCCAGAATGCCAGCCCAAATGCCCAGTCTCACATCTCACAGGTGGGCAAACCAGTCCAGAGAGACTACGGACTTGCATCCAGACATAGCACATAGGGACGTGGCCTTGTCTGGAGCACCCTGTACCTTCAGACCCTTCATCCTGGCCGGCTGGCCCATCCCTCTCTCTCTGCACATTCTCTGATTCTAACTTGCTCTTGCCTCTGCTCCCTCCCTTTCTCATGGGGCTTTCCCTC